AGGACCACTGGCCTCCTCCCTCTGTCAGTCAACCAGAAAACTGAAAGGCGTGGTGGTTTCCTCTTTCTCCTTCACCCTCCACGTCCAGTCACACTGCCTTTTTCATTTTCTTCTCAGTGTCATTCGTTCATTAACAGAGATTTACGGAAAGTCTGCATGATAGGCCCTGGGCTGGTGAAACTGGGGGATGCCATCCTGACCCCTGCCTTCAGGCCCCCGCCTATAACACTCCTACTCCCCACCTTTCTCCTCTGGACTATTCTCAGACCTTCTTGACTATTCCCCAGCCTCTCCGCTGGACCCTTTAGCTGGAAGGCAGAGATGTGTCTGTATTATTCACCACTCCATCTCCTCTGCCCAGCACAGTATGGTCCACACAACCAATATTTGAAGACTGAACAAAGGACCCCACATTACCTACAGAATAAAATTCCAACGTTGCAGCATGGTGTAGTAAGTTTCTCTTGCTGCTGTAACAAATTGTCCCAAACTGGCTTAACATGAATGTATTGTATGACAGCTCTGTAGGTCAGAAGTCTGACATAGTCTCTGAGCCCAAATCAAGGTGTTGGCAGCATTGTGTTCCTTTCTGGAGGCTCTGTGTAGGAAAAGGTGCTTTCCTTGCCTTTTGCAGTTCCTACGGGCTGCCCACATTCCTTGGCTTGGAGCCCCTTCCATGTAACAGATGAGTTGAGGTCTTCTCACGTGGCATCACTTTCCTAAGCTCTTGTACTTGCCAGTTCCACTTTTAAGGATCCCTGTGATTCCTCTGGACCCTCCCCCGCCCCCAGATAATCTAGGTTTATCTCCCTGTCAGGGTCAGCTGATTTCCAGCATTAATTCCATACACAAGTCATAACTCTCCTTTGCCATGTCCTAGTCACAGGTCCCAGGAATTAGGGTCTACAGTTCCTCTCACAATTTGGCACTAACTTACCTTTTTAACCTCATTTTCAAGTTCTTGCTTCCAGGACTCTGGGATCATGACCTGAGCCAAAGGCAGGCGTTTAACTGACCAAGCCACCCAGGTGCCCAGCACCTGCCTATTTAGAGCCTCCTTCACATTTACCACCTCTGTGATACCACCCCTGTTTTCTCGTGCTCCCTCATCCGTGTGCATGTAACATGCGCGACTTTATAGCTAAATGAAATAGGAAGCATGCGCTAATGGGGACTCTATTGCTTGCACACCACAGAAAAGTTTGAACGAGCTTACCTATCTATCACCACGTACTGCTGAGAAGAACAAGGCTAGAGTGTGGGAATGGGGAACGTCTGTCGCACAGACCCAATTAAATCAATCAGGACTCTTTCCTCAGCACCTTCCCCAAGGAGCCAAGTTGGCGTCCTTGGGGCCTTCTCTGTGGAAATGGGAGAAATGGGTGTGGGAAGAGGGAATTTCCAAGTTACATTTCACTCTGCCTGGCAACTTCAAAGGGCTGGATGTGTCCCACGCTTTGGCCAACCATATGAAGAGGGAAGTGGGCATTATGGTTGGCTAAGCCTGGGTCATATAGCCACGCCTTCACCCTGGGGCTTTTGTGGGGAGCGCTGGGGAGGGTGTCAGGTAGGTGCTGAGATCATGGTTGGCCACATCAGGTGGTTGAAAATAGTGGAAGAGTAACTCCCCAAAGTGTAGGGGGCCGGGGGGATGGGTGCTGAGCTGCCAGCAAATGGCTGTGAGGCAGAATGAAGTAAGTGCTAAAACAAGGAAACCAAGTGCTTTAGGAGCACCGAGGAAAGAGCAGGCTGGGAAGGCAGAGATGCCATCCTCTGAAGCATGACTGGACCAAATGATCTGGGATTGTTTCATGGTATTGAGAAGGCAATGGATTGGTAAAATGTTTAAAAGCTATTGAATAGGGGAGTGACATGATCCAAGCCAACTGCTTAGAATGAGAACTCTGATGCCAGTGGGGGGCGGGGGGAGTGGATCTGTTCTTAACAAATAATGAATATTTCATGTAGTATTAAGGAATGCTAAGAAGGGGATAGACTCAAGACTGTCCATCATGGGGCATAACTATAGGGAGTGGGAATTAGAGATCAAAGATCTCCATCCCAGGGGTGCCTGGGTGGCTCGTCCACTGAGCGACTGCCTTCAGCTCAGGTCATGATCCCAAAGTCCCAGGATCGAGTCCCATGCCAGGCTCCCTGCCCAGCGGGGAGTCTGCTTCTCCCTCTGCCTGCCACTCCCCCTGCTTGTGCTCTCTCTTCTCTCTCTGTCAAATAAATAAATAAATAAATAATGTTAAAAAAAAATAATCTCCACCCCAGGTGACTGGGAAGACGGCGTGACCTGATCGGAGAAAGGGAACCCAGGCCAAGGGGTAGACTTGGACAGGATGTCAATTTTAGTTTGAGAAACATTAAATTTGAGGTGTGGTCAGGAAACCCATAAGATGTTTTATAGGCAGTTAGAATTTCAGTCAGAGAAGAAACCAGAATTAAACAGTTATATTTGGGAGTAGAAAAGAGATAGTAGTTTAAGTCTTTCCCAAAATGTGGGGTATATATACTTGTCCAAGAGATGAGTTTAGGTGACACATGGACCCTGAACTAGTTTGGTTTTAGTGGTGTAGTGGCTCCTGATGGACCCTCTAGTGTATGCTACTCCCCTTTCCCTGGCGTCAGGCTCAGCTTCCTGTAGGCAACACTGTTTCACATCACACTGTTGTCCATTTATGGCGATGACAGTTTACTTTTAAAATAAACAAATTAAGCAGTCTTTTGGAAATTACGTACTGGTGGCACATACACATCACAGAAATAGTGATGGTGGGATGCAAAGTGACCGAAGTTTAGGGAGCGTCTACACAAACCAAAATGGATGAGATGGTGCAAGCGGAGTGTGGAGCTAGAAGACAGGAGGGACAAGATCAGGACTTTGGGAAGCGTCATCTAAGGGCGAGAGGAGGTAGAGAAAACCCAGGAGGAGATGCTGTCAGAGGTAGAACCTAGGTCTTAGCGGAGAAAAAGCCAAAGGAAGTGTGCATTTCAAGGTGGTGTCAAATGCTTGAGTTCACCGAGGTTTAGAACCAAGAAGAGTTGTTAGATGCACTAACTCAGAGACATTTGGAGGTTCCAGAAGAGTGGTAATATGCAACTCCGAAGGACTAAAGAATAAACTTGGTGATGAGGACGTGGAGGAAGAACGCGTCTGTTTAGTCACAGGTAAAAGAAAATGGAAGAGGGTCAGGCCCACACCTTCAAGGGAGAAGCAAGCCTGAGGATGAGCATGTTGATAGACCAAGATCCGAGCAGCCAATAGAAACAGAAAGGAGGGGAGGAAGGGAGGACAGAAGGCGGCACTGTTTAAGCATTTACCCAGAGTAGAAACTAGGGGATGGCCACAAAGGCAGGAAGCATGGCGAATATATGCTTATGACTGTGGTCCCTTGTGTTCTCATTATTGAGGCCGTTGATCTGATTTTTAAGAATTTATTTATTTGGGAGAAAGGGAGGAGAGAAAAAGCACAAGTGGGGATGGGGTGCAGAGGGAGAGGAAGAAGCCAACTCCCCACTGAGCAGGGAGCAGGACATGGGGCTGGATCCCGGGACCCTGAGATCATGACCCAAGCGGAAGGCAGACGCTGAACCGTCTGAGCCACCCAGGCGCCCCTGAGGCAGTCTTGTGCTCTGTGTACAACCATAGTACATATGTACATAGTACATAAGGTACGCTGACGGAAGTCAGTCCCCAAACATGCGTCTGTGACGACTGTCTCAAATTTCCAGACCAAACCCTCGCCCTCAGCATGCCCCATAAATAATCAGGGGGAATCAAACTATTTTTAAAAAGGTTTCCAGACTTCTTCCAATTTCCAAAAGAAAGATTAAGGACGTACAACTAACAGTGGTCACATCCAAGTCTTAAATTCAAAGATTCTGTTTTCTGGGGGCGCCTGGCTGGCTCATTCTGTAGCGCACGTGACTCTTGATCTCGGGGTCATGAGTTTAAGCCCCACATTGGGTGTAGAGGTTACTTAAAAATAAAATCTTTTAAAAAAACAAAAACCCCAAAGATTGTTTTCTGTGACCCTGCCCCAACCAGCATGTGGTGGGGCATCAGAACCCAGAAGCTCCACAGTTCAGCACTAAAAGCAGTGCCAACTAGTGGCAAGTGTGCAGCAGGTCAAATGGTATGGTTTGGAGGTTTGCACAGAACCTGAACGATTTTAGAAGGTAATCAGTTTTTATCATCTTTTGGGCGTTTCAGCCACAATGCATGTTTCCAATTTGCCTTTCTTTCTTTTTTTTTTAAAGATTTTATTTATTTGACAGAGAGAGACACAGCAAGAGAGGCAACACAAGCATGGGGAGTGGGAGAGAGAGAAGCAGGCCTCCCGCCGAGCAGAGCGCCTGATGCGGGACTCGATCCCAGGACTCTGGGATCATGACCTGAGCCGAAGGCAGACGCCCAATGACTGAGCTACCCAGGCGCCCCCCAATTTGCCTTTCTTAACTACTAAACTCCCAAGGCCAGCTACCAAAAACTAGGACTCAAAAACTTTATTTTTTACATCTTCCATCAAAATCTCAGGAATGTAAGAGCTTCAGTAGGTAAAGTACTTCTTGCAGTTCAATCTGCATTACAGTGTCTCTAGATGGACTCCGACGCAGGCTCACATTGGCAGGTTGCCTTGGGGAGAGAACTGAGCAAGAATTGGAGGATAAATTCTGTTTACCTATTTCAGACCTTTGGAATTTTGATATGTGACGTGACTTAGTTCTTAAACTTGTTTAAATATAAATCCAGGGTACTGGGGCGCCTGGGTGGCTCAGTTGGTTAAGCGACTGCCTTCGGCTCAGGTCATGATCCTGGAGTCCCGGGATGGAGTCCCGCATCGGGCTCCCTGCCCAGCAGGGAGTCGGCTTCTTCCTCTGACCCTCCCCCCCCTCATGTGCTTTCTCTCATTCTCTCTCTCAAATAAATAAAATCTTAAATATATATATAAATAAATAAATACAGGGTACTTCCTAAAATTTTTCTAATGCAGGTTATGAATGAAAAACTTCAGCACTGCATGGAGCTGACAGATCTAATGCGGAATCACCTGACTGAGAAAAGGGCACTCCGCCTGGAGTGGATGATCGTAATCCTTATCACCATCGAGGTAAATAGATGAAAATAAGGGCACCTGGCTGGCTCAGTCAGTGGAGTATGCCACTCTTGGTCTCGGGGCTGTGAATTCAAGCCCCACATTGGGTGTAACTAAAAAATAAATAAAAATTAAAAAATAAAAGGAAAATAAAGATAATTTGACATAGAAAATGACAGTGGAAAAGAGCATGGCTTTGTTCTAATTAGTCTATTTGGAAGTGAGGCCAACTTTCAAGTGACTGTGATAATATTGCAAATGCACAAAGTGTGATTTTTGGAGTTCTGTATTTGAAGATAGCATTTAGAGAAAGTTCTAGCTGCAGACTTATAATGTACAACCTAGCAGCAAGTACCTTTGCCTCACATCTGCAGCTTGCCCTGTGGGAAAGACTTCAGAAGCATTTTTCATTAATCACAATTTTGGAAAAATCGTTTTAGTTTTTTTTTTTATAAACTTTTTTTTGTTTTTTAAGATTCTGACAGAGAGAGACAGCGAGAGAGGGAACACAAGCAGGGGGAGTGGGAGAGGGAGAAGCAGGCTCCCCATCAAAAGGGGAGCCCGATGCGGGGCTCGATCCCAGGATGCCGGGATCATGACACGAGCTGAAGGCAGACGCCTAATGACTGAGCCAACCAGGCGCCCGTTTTAGTTTTTACCAGTAATTTGCTATGAAATTAATCAATCTCACTTTTTATCACCCTAAGGTAATGTTTGAGCTGGGACGAGTATTTTTTCTGATCAAGTGATAACCAGAGAAAAGTATCAGTGCAAGAGATACTCAAGTTCTACAATCAAAAGTAAATGCTCACTGTTGGGGGAATCTATTTAATTGGCATTTAATATTTTTTAAATCAGTAAGTTGTGATGATCTTTTTCAGCTCCTGTATGTATTGCTGCTTGAATAAAAATTATGAAGAAGCTGGTGTTTGGGTCTTTAACACTAAGAATTTGAAAGGAAGATATTTTAAAAGAACTATAGGAAGCTTAACACCTAGGAAATCTAGGCAAAGATACTTACTAAAGCCAAAAGGCTTAGATTTTGGACACTATCCCCTCACCTATCTCCAGGAAATCCCAATCCCAGCCCTAAGAGAACCATACAGGAAACTCTGGAGTGTTGAAATAAATACATAAGACAGGTTTGTGATGACAAGAATGAGTTTTATAGACCTACTTTGGATGGCATAATTTCAGTATGCCTGCTCACTGGCACTTCATTTATCAGTACTACCCATGCCTTTACTACCAATCTAGTCAGAATATTCTTCCCACACATTTTTTTGTTTCACACATACTTTGGGGAAATGAAAAAATGCCAGGAACAAAGAACTTGATATTTATGTGCTTACCATCTTGAATTGATAAACATGTTTAAAAAGCGGGGCACCTGGGTGGAACAGTTGAGTGTCCAACTCTCAGTTTCAGCTCAGCTTGTGGTCTCAGGGTCGTCAGATCGAGCCCCATGTTGGGCTCTGCCCTCAGCACATAGCCTGCTTGAGACTTTCCCTCCCCAGGCCCCCCCCACCATGCTCTAAAATAAATCTTTAAAAAGTAAATTCCTTTTTAAAAAAAAATAAAAATAAAAAAATAAAAAGTAAATTCCTTTTTATCTTCATTTTTATGCATAACCCCCACTTGTCCCATATGCTTCCCACCACAATGAATTTAAATGTTTTTTCCATACATTATAGTTCACCGTTAAATGGGGGGTTAGATGCACCCACCCCCCAGTTGAAAATCTGTATCATCTTTGACCCCCCCAAACTTTACTGTAGCCTATTGACCAGAAAATGTACCAATAAGTCAATTAACACATGTTGTTTTTACCGTATTCTTAAAAATAAGGCAAGGTAAAGGTTGAGAAAATGTATTTATATACTCTATGTACTGTATGGAAAAAACCCATCTGCATATAAATGGAACTGTGAAGTTCAATGAAACCTGTTATTCAAGGTTTATATCCATGAATACAGTATTACTGTTCTAAATTGAGACACTTAATTTTGCAATTTAACTGCTACACAGTATTTCACCTTGAGAATACACATCAATCTATACCCTTACTATTTTTATGTACTTATTTGCTCTAATAATGCAAAGGTAAACATCCTGGTACCATTTTCAGCACACTGCAAGAGTCCTCCTTGAGTAGCAGTCTAAGGTACCTATATCCCAAGATTTCCCAAGGAACATGTGGGCATGGAGAGTTCAAGAAATGCTTTCTAGATCCTTAGGTTCCACAGAAGCACTTACATAAAGCTGCTGTGCCTGGATACACACCTGCAGCCAATGTATGAAGGCTGTCTCCTTTCCCATCTTCCCTTCTCACCCACCTTCAATTTTAGTTTGGCCCACTGTATTTAAAAACCTATAAATATATTTAACCTACATTCAGACCTCTTTGGGAAGTCAACAAGAACACAATTTGAAATATTGGTCAACAAAGCTTTCTAATTTAATGGGAACCACATAATCCCCCATCTATTAAGAGGGGCATTTCCAATAAAGTTTTACTCCAAGTATCAATATGTACAATTGCTGTTTGGGTCAACTGTGTGTTAATTACAACAATTTTAACAACAAAATATGAACATCTGGTGCCTTATGGTCATGGCAAAATCTAACGATTTACATACAAATATGCTACAAAAAACAAAAGGATAATCAGTAAGACCTTCAAGCATAAAAATTTATTAGGTAAACATTTTGGGGGGAAATTAACAGTTTTTAAAGGAACAGTGTTAAATCTGAATTGTTTACTTATGTTTATTAAAGCAATCATGGTAGACACCAACTCATTACAGTATTACATTCCACTAGATACACTAAAGACATATAATACCTTTATTTTTAAATCAGTATTTATGATTCATCAGAAATTGCATCTTTTTCAGCTACTTAAATTTATGATAAAAACCTCAACTTTAGTTATAGGAAAGAGGTGTTGTTTTTTTTTAATTATTTTAGGTTATGTAAGGGGATTTTCATGATCACAACTTCTGTAATACCAAATGACCAAGAAATCCTACCAGAAGACAGAGGAGAGCCTCAAGTACATTCACCAATGGCCTTGGAAGCACTCCTCAAAATGTTATCAAATTTCTATCATTCATGAGAGTACAGTGATTAAGACCAACCTGGACTTGAATTCCTCACTACCACCTACTAGTTGTATCACCTTAGGCCAATCACTGAACCTCTCTGGGTCTCAAGTTTCTTCATTTGTAAAATGGGTTTAACAGTACCCCTACCTCTTAAGAGTTGCTGTGAGGATTAATGGACTTAACATACATGAAGCTATGAGTTTACTGTTACTACAATCCATCTGAGTAAAAATCCATAGGATTCTGAGATTAAATGGAGGTTGAATCAAATCACTAGCGCCACCCCCCGCCTCTGCCCCAGCTTCGAATCCAATTGAGAAACATCATGAGAGGCTTAAAGACTGACGTTAGTGAATCCTGCACCTAAATGGATGGAGCAGTTCACTTAAATAAAAGTTATATTTCCACTGTTTAAAATGAGTTGGCTATTCAGTGCAAGCCCCAAAAGGCTTTTAAATTGGACACATTTTGTATGTACCAGGCAGCCGCCAACAGGCGTTCTGGGTGCCTTCTCACATACCACAGCAGTCAGAAGCAGGAATGGTTTTTACATATAAAATCAATCTATTGTTTCTAGTATCAGAAACATTTTTTTTTTTGCCAAAACTTAATCTTTTCACTTATTTTTAATTATTCCGCGGTCTCTCACAGCAGTTTTTCCCAAGTATGGTGCTCAGACCAACTCCATCAGCAAACACCTGGGTGTCCATGATTTATACAGATTCCAGTATTTTGCAATCAGGATTTCTGAGGCTGCAACTAAGGAATGATTTTTACAACTCTCCAAAAGATTCCCATGCTCACTAAACTCTGAGTACCACTAAGACTGTTTACTGGCTTGCCCTCACTTTATAGATAGACTTTCAGTGATTCATTAGCACCCTCTTGCTCCATTTAATGTAGTAAGTACAGGGGATTCAATTCTCTCTCTTTCTCCAACACAATCTCCTCATGCTCTCCTCTCCTCGCCTTTACAAACTGCGAGTGTGGGGCCCGTGCTGTGAGGTGATAAAGAGAAGTAGACCGAGCTTTTCCAAATACTTCCAATCCAAATCTATTAACTTTCAATTCTCACCACTGGTTATGAATTGCCATTTTTTTAAAGGAAGATTTAAGGTCACTATTCCAAATTCCCTTTCCTCATGGGAGCTCTCCGGGAGGGTTTATTAACAAAACGGGATTTTTTAACTCCTTCTGCACAATCTGAAACCCAGATTGGGGCACCTGGGTGGCTCAGTCGCTAAGCATCTGCCTTCGGCTCAGGTCATGGTCCCAGGGTCCTGGGATCGAGCCCTACATGGGGCTCCCTGCTCCGCAGGAAGCCTGCTTCTCCCTCCCCCACTCCCTGTTTGTGTTCCCTCTCTCGCTGTGTCTGTCAAGTAAATAAAATCTTAAAAAAAAAAGAGAGAGAGACTCAGATTTAAATGTTTCTTTAAAAACAAAATGTTTCAGGGTACCTGGGTGGCTCAGTCAAGTGTCCAACTCTTGGTTTCTGCTCAGGTCCTAACCTCATGGGTTGTGGGACAGAGCCCTGAGTCAGACTCAATGCTCAGTGGGAGTCTGCTTGAATATTCTCTCCCTCTGCCCTTTCCCTGGCTTGTGCTTGCGCACTCTTTCTCAAATAAATAAATCCTTTTTTTTTTTAATTTAAAAATAGGGGCGCTTGGGTGGCTCAGTCAGTTAAGCATCTGCCTTCGGCTCAGGTCATGATCCCAGGGTCCTGGGATAGAGTCCCACATTGGGCTCCCTGCTCAGTGGGAAGCCCGCTTCTCCCTCCCCCCCGCCAATCCCCCTGCTTGTGCTCACGTGCTTGCTCTCTCTTCTGACAAATAAATAAAATCCTAAAAAATAAAAATAAAAAAATTTAAAAATAAAAACAAAATGTTTCAACATGTCCTAGACTGTTAAAATAAAACAGGCTGGAAAGCATGCAGAACTGTAAAACCTACTCACAGAGATACTCAGTTCTTTCATGTAATACATCAAATACTTATTCAGAAGTTAGGATGTGCTACTCTGGGCTCCAAGATACAGTTGTAGAGATGACAAAAAGGGCTCTTACTTTCCTGAAGCTTACATTCAAATAAAGGCAGTAGAAACACAAACAACTAAGTAACCTGCTTAAAAGTAGAGATGCTCTACTACAAAGAAATCTAAAGAACTGGTAGAGGGGTGGTATGAAAAATGAGAAAAGTGAACACAATAGTTAAATAAAGAACCTAAAATTTATGCAATATTAAGACAGCACTATTTGAACTGAAAAGCCCAAAACAGGCAAGATTCTGTTTAAGTATAAACTTGACTTTTAATCTAGCTTCTATACATGAGTCTTAGAAACTTGCTTACCACAATTTTTTTTGAATACTGCTAATATAAAAATATGTACTAGACTGTTTCTTGAACTCATCACATGAAGACTTACAGAGGGCAGCAACTAACAAAAATGATGTAATTCCAGTCAAATCTAAGCCACCAGGCACTAGTCTTTAAATGCAGAGTATTGATCTCAATCTAAAAAGCCTCATGTGGTTTGGGTTCTGGTTACCTTAGAGATTTTTGACTCTAAGCACTCTGATGGCAAGTAAGATTAGTTTGAATACTTGTCCTGTGGTTCACTAATGAAATCTGATAAACTGGAATCCTTTAATTTTATGTGGCCCTTTCAGATCCTGGATTTCCTGGCACTGAGGGGTTTCCTGCAGCAGCTAGACTTGCAGTGCTAAGCTGGGAAAGGCCTGGGCAAAGCAGCCAGCTGGTTATCCTATCTTCAGACCACATTTTAGAAATTAATGTTTAGACAGACAACTTTTTCGAATGAG